GAAGGAAGTACTTGGTAAATGGCAGCTATCGTTTCCCTGGGTGGGAAAATCTGGGAGGAGGGAGGCGAGTCAGAGACACCAGCTACAGAGCACAGAGCAGAGGACTGAGAATCAGGAAACCTGGATTTAAATCCAGTTCTGACTGATTAAAAAGTTAGGTTGATAAATGATAATGGAGGGAGACTTGACTTGGGGTGGTGAACACGCAATACAATATATAGATGATGTATTATAGGATTGTACCCCTGAAACCTATGTAACTTATTAACCAGTGTCACCCCAATACATTTTTTTTTAAATGAAGTTGATAGCGACTAAACAGATCAAGGATAAACAAAATGTACAATATGTTTGTGGATGCATACAAACGAACATTATTCAGTCTTAAAAAGGAATGGAATTCTGATAGATGCTACAACATGGATGAATCTGCCGGCCGGGCCTGGCTCAGCGGTTGAGCGTCGACCTAGGATCCAGGCGATCGGGGTTCGATTCCCGGTCAGGGCACATGCCCGGGTTGCGGGCTCGATCAATGACTCTCTCATCATGGATGTTTCTCTCTCTCTCTCTCTCCCCCCTCTCCTTTCCTCTCTCTGGATTCAGTAAAGATATATTAAAAAACAAACAAAAAAACCACGGATGAATCTTGAAGACATTATGCCAAGGGAAACAAGGTGGTCGCCCAAGGACAAGCACAGCGTGATTCCACGTGCGTGATGAAGCTGGAGGAGCCAGCTCATGGAGGCAGCAGGTGGAATGGTGGTTGCCAGAGGCGGGGGGACGGGGGTTGGGGTGTCACTGCCTAATGGTGCAGAAGTTCCCTGGGGAAGACGGAAACGCTCTGGAGGCGGAGAGCAGTGACAGCCACACAACTCAGTGTTTCGGCCCCGCAGCGCACACTCAGAAACACGGCGGGCTCGCGCCTCCGCTCCTGTCAGTCTTGCAGGAAGGAGTTCAGATGCGGGACAGAAAGCAGCCCTGAAGCAGAGCGAGCGAATTTAGGAAGGAAGCAGAGCCCAGCAAGTTTAGTAAAAATGCACTTGGCATAAAGCAGAAGCGGGCAGCTCGGCCAGTCTGAGTGCCCCCGCAGGGTTCGAGGGGTTTATACCCTCCCCCCTATAGGTTCCAAAGTCCCCTTTACGCGGTTGCCGCTTATCGCGTATGTTTGTACACGCACCTGGTCATCTTGTTTAGCATGTTCTAAGGCGGCTGGCTTCTTTGTTTTAGTGGGTGAGGAAAACTCCCCACTTTCTTCCCGCTCCCCCTTTCCTGCCCTGGCAGCTATCCATCCTACCAACAGAAATGGTTAGAATGGTAAATTTTATGTTATGTGTATTTTATCAAAATAAAAAATAAGCCTATTTCACTTTCTATTTCCTAATTTTCCCTGACGGTATTTGACCATGAAATTCTCCATTTTCACCAGCACTCACTTGAGTACCACAGAGAGCAAGGGTCCCATAGAACACACCTGGGGAAAGGCTGGCATCTGGCATCGTGGCTGGACCTTCAGGGATAAAACCCCAGGGTCCAGTAGGGGGAGAAACATATTGGGCCCGTCATCTAAGGAAGGAAGATGCCAGCATCTCACTCGGTATAAACCAGGATTCAGAGGGAAACCACTAAACCACTAAGAGAAGCAGAAATGGCATCTGCTTCTCTGAGTCTTGATGTCAAGACATCAGTGAGGTGCTTCCTGAGTGGGGAAACTTAGGGGAGCCCTTTATTGGCGGCAAGCTTTGGGAGCTTAGAAACCAGAAACCCACGCAAAAGGCCTGAGACGGTAAGCACCCAGCATTCGCCCCCAGAGACCAGGGCTAATGACCTCGGCATTACAGGCTCCTGTTTACATTCAGAATTCAGGTTGCGTAGCAACCTCAGGATTTAATAAAGGCCTTTTCAAATTTTTAACCTGTTTTCAGTTGCTAAGGGGAACTCCTTTGGCAGGGAGTTTGTTCCACCCTTTGGCCAGGATATTAAAGCTGAATTACCCACCATAATGGTACTAAGATTGCCCAAGAGAAAGATGACAGTTTAGAAAAACAAAGTAAGACAGTCTCTTATTAGGCGGCCGCTCACTACTTCCTCCTAGCAACTGATTTCAGAAGGCTCTTGGTTTTCGTTTGAAAAAAGAAAATAAAATATAGCTAAAAGTTTCTGAGCCTTCATCATGTGCCGGGGTCCACACTTTGTATGCATTTTCCTCCCCCTAAAAAAACCTCAAGAAGTAGATAACCTCTTTTAAAATTGTTTTAAATTGATTTTTAGAGAGAGAGGAAGGGAGAGGGAGAGACAGAGAGAAACATCCATGAGAGAAACATCCGTCGGCTGCCTCCTGCACGCCCCCGACTGGGGATCCAGCCCGCAGCCCAGGCGTGTGTCCTGACCCGGAATCGAACCGGTTACCTCCTGGTTCTTGGGTGAGCTCTCAGCCAGCGGGGCACAGGTGGAGCTGGGACACAGACCCGGGCAACCGGACTCCAGAAGCCCCTCCTCAAGGCCCGTCACCGTGTCTTCTCGGCCAGCCTTGCCCGTGGCTGCACAGCTGCATCTTCTGGGCGACCAAAGGGGCGGGTTCCTCGTGCGCGCTGCTCTCTCCTCTCCCACACTCGCGGTTAGAACCCGAGGCACCTGTGAAGCCCTAGCGGCCCACTTACCTGTTGAGTGGGGTGCTGTTCTGCATAAAAGCAGGAAGGTGGAAAAAATCGAACTGGTTTTTTATGAGTCCAACACCCTCATCTTCAACACCTGAAATAGCACTCCTGTTGTCCAATTTGTACAGAGACTCTCAAAGGCACAATGAAGGAAATAAAATTAAGAGTTCCTCTGTTGCTGCCAAAAGAGAGAGTGTTGGCATTTTCCCCGCTGCTAATGGTCTTTAACTGGCTTTACACGTTCCAGGGGACCAGGATCAAGGCCAGTCCAACATGTCAGCGAGCGGGTGAGTGTCTACACGCTGGAATCCCGAGGGCGAGCTGGGGTGGGCCTGAGAGACCCTCCTGCTCCAAGAGATACACACCTGTAACCCCCCCCAGCACTGCTGTAGCCACTGATATGCAAACCACCCCGACCCCCCTCACGTGTGCACAGCCCTTTACGAACCCGTAGATGTGAATACTCTCGGGACATTACCAAGCACTCTTACTTGTCTCGTCCTGTCATTTTAAAAGCCCCGTGGGGTTGGTATCACGTTCCTTATTCTACATGTGAGGACTGGAAAGCTCACTAGTGATTAGCAAGGCCAGGACCAGCATCTGAGGCTTTTAACTCCCAGCCCAGTGTGCTCTGGATGCAAGATGCCTGCAGTTATCAACACCTCTTACACATTCCTTCGCTGGCAGAAGCTGAGCCCGTGTCGGGAAGTTTAGAGATGCCCTGAGAATGGCCAAGCCTCGGGGCTGGCATGAGCAAGCGGGAGGCCTGCAGGGTGGCCGAGCCCCTCTGAGCTGGAGGGAGGCAGCTGCCTGACCGCCGGGGGCTCGGGCTCAGAGCACCTGCTCCTCTGGGACGGCGAGCTGGGATCTGAAGCGCCGGGTTTCTAAGTCACCCTGAGCAAGTCACACTTGTCAGGGACTCCAGTCCCGACCCAGACACTAAACGGCTAGAAAACTTGGACGAGTCACTGATCCTAACACGCTGGCTGCAAAATGGGCTGCCAAGCCTGGGGGCCCTGGAGAGAGTCTACTCAAGATGAAACACTACAGAGGCCCCAGGGATGCGAGGCGCTGCTCTGCGGAGAGAGGAGAGGAGAGAGGAAAAGGGAAGAGGAGTGGCCCCTGATTTTCAGGGGTCCCATTCCACTTGCGGGAGGCAGGCTCTACTTTACGTACAGTGGCAGACAGTCGGCAAAGAAAACTGACCTCTCCTGAGCTCTGTATAGTATGGCAGGTCAAAGGATGGGTGCTATGCCCTGGCCGGTATGACTCGGTTGGTTGGAGCGTCTCCCAGACACCAAAAGGTTGCGGGTTCGATTCCTGGTCAGGGCACATACCCAGGTTGTGGGTTTGATCCCCGGTCACAACGTGTGCAGGAAGCAACAGATTAATGTTTCTCTCTCTCTCCCCTTTTGTAAGATTTAAAAAAAAATTTTTAAATAAAAGATAGGTGTTATTAGCAACCCCATTTTGTGGATGAGAAAACTGATGGATAGTTTAATCTTTACTCCAAAGACACACTAATGTTAACTGGCTCAGACAAGAGTCGCCCAGGCCTGTATGGCCTGAATCATTCCTCGTACTGTTTCCTTGTGCTAGTCAAAGATGAAAGCGCCCAGAGATGGGAGCCCTCGCTCTCAACTTGGAAAAAGGAGACAGGCCACATAAAGCGGAGCAGAGACATCTTTTAAAACTGTGCCACTTTAGTCAATATCTGAGGCCCTGTGATTGTCACTATTAGTGTGTCTGATGACAACCTCAGGGAGATAAGGGGAGAGAGTCAGAGAGGGAACACGTGAGAGCCAGAGATGTGAAAGGGGCACCGAGGAAGCTCCATCCCACCTAAAGGGTTACACATGGCCATCGGATAGAAGCCACGTGATTAACGTCAAACCACATGAATATCAGAGAGAGGCACTGGGTTAAAGCCTTGCCTGGCTAGACCTCGGGCTGAAAATCACCAGTTTCTTTTTTTTCTGTTTCTTCCTAATCCTTTATAATTTCCTCTAATGCTTTAGCCCAGCTTAGGACCACGAGCCTTCAGGGAGCAAAGCAAGGCCCATCTGTTCAGCCAGGAATTTGCCAAACAAGTAAAAAAATCAACCTGGCTTTTACTGTAACATATCATTTAGATGACCCCCCAATACTTTGCAACCGTACCTGCCAAAAGTAACTCTGCATCGCTGTGAATCATGGTTCCAAAAGGGGGGATGTCAGGGGCATTCTTTGCTAATGAAAAAGAGGAATAAAGTAATAGGTATATTTGTTTAGAATGTGCTTATTCTAAAAGCTATATCAAAATATGAATCATCACCGCCTTGTTTGGGGAGGAAAAACATTTAAGAATTCCTTTTTTCCAAAGATTTTATTTATTTTATTATAAGACATATAGGTAAAGACTTGCATATTCTAAAAAAGATAGAAAATGATAATAAAATGGACATTTTTCTTATTAAGAAACATGTCATAAATATGCTTTATCAAATGTTAAAATGGTTATTATTTTGCAAAATAACAATAAATAGAGCAGAGCTGTGGCATACGAGGGTCAACTCAAAGTACTGGAAGTGTTTATGTTTTGTATTTTATAAAAATTCAGACCTTTGATTATATTTCAAAATGTGGCATTTTGCACTGCAGCTTATCAATAATTCAGATTTTCAAAATATTTTTAGGATGGCCCTATGATTGTAAAAATAATGAAACATAAAAAGTGATTTGACTAAGTTGAATTTGATTAAAATAAGTTCCCCTGAATACAAAATTATAAGACACAGAAGTAGAGATACAATTTTTGAAACCCACCGTGGTACATGAGTCAGTTCCCACATTCTACAAATTTCTGGATCCCCAGCTGTGGGCACTGAACAAAAACTATTTGCAAGCTTTAATTTCCAGCCAGGTCCATCGTTTCCTTTCACAGCTTGATGGAGCAGTGATAGTCACGATGAGCTCAATTCCACAGTCTACCTCCATGAATACAAGGTACTTCTTCCTTTGAATAAACCCTTTCACTGGTCCTTATATTTGGTTATGACCCACTGGCCTCAAATTCCCATATCAGAACACTGGGGGAAATTTTAATAATGCAAAGTTCTTTTTCTAGGCATTCTTTTAAGGCTTCGATTCTCTACTCTCCAAAGGAAAGAGGACACTCATGTGAACACCACACACATCCTCTAGTGAGTCTCGGGTGTTCAAGGACAAGGTCAGGCTTTTCCTGCAAGTAAATACTGACCCTTTGCGAAGATCTCTCACTGCCCAAGCATTTAGTTGCCCATAAGGCTAACACATGAATTCCCAGCCGCAGAAGGGGAAGCCGCGTCTAACAGTATTTAAGGAGTCAATCTAATATAGATTATCGGTCCCAGTGGCCTTCAGCGATGCCCACCGGGGGGCATCTGGGTGACCCCGGGTGCCTAGAGCACAGAGAGGTCATGGCAGGATTTGGACTTGAGCTTGAAGGCCATGTTCTTGTTGTTCTTGGCCACGATCTTGCCCCAGAAGCGCCTGGCCTTCCGGGGGATGCTCTCCCTCTTCTTCTGGTAGGCCAGCCGCCTGTCGTTCTTCTCTCTGCTGTCCCGCCGGAGGCGCACCTGCCGCACGGCGCCCTCGAACAGCTCCTTCACGTTGTGCTGCACGGCGGCCGACGTCTCGATGAACTTGCAGTCGAAGACCACGGCGCACGCGCGCCCCTCTGCAAGGGGCGGAGGGAAGAGGGGGCTGCAGGGCTCGGCCAAGCTGGAGGGGTCCCCAGTTTATTTTTATTTTTTTTTATTGATTTCAGAGAGAGGAAGGGAGAGAGAGTCCCTGATGGGCCGCCTCCTGCACGCGCCCTACGGGGGATCGAGCCCGCCACCCGGGCCTGGGCCCTGGCCGGGAATCGAACTGGGACCTCCTGGTTCATGGGTCGGTGCTCAGTCGCTGAGCCACACCAGCTGGGCGAGGATTCCCGATTTTAAATGGTCCTCACAGTAACTCTGAGTCAGTCCCACATGCAATGAGCATGCGAGGCCACCGTGGCACATGTCCTCCCAGGCCATAAACAGAAGCAAGGAGTCTCACAGGAGGGTTCCTGGAAGCAGGAGAGGTGGGCTTTAGACCTGGTCCGCCACACTCACTGCAGGAAGGTGCCATTTCATCAAAAAAGCACTATTTATTATGACAGCAAAAACCATAGCCTTAATTTATTGCACTTACTATGCGCTGGGAACTGCTTTGTAAACATTTTTTATGCTCACAATCTTGAAAAATATATTATCCCTCTCAGGTAGATAAAGAAACTGCGGGGAAGGGTGGCCTTTTAAAAACCTGGGGGAGTTCACATAGCCTGTGAGTGGCAGCTGTGATCCAGGGCTGCTTCATTCTCAAGCTCATATTCTTAACTCTTTCTCCTGACTCAGTTTCCTGAACTGAAAATAAGAATCCCACTACTTGGCTTTCTCTCTTTAAAAAATTTTTTGAAGCTTTAAAAAAAAAAATTTATATGTTTTTATTGATTTCAGAGAGAGGAAGGGAGAGGGACAGAGATAGAAACATCAATGATGAAAGACAGTCATTGATCAGCTGCCTCCTGCATGCCCCCTTACTTTTTGAAGTTTTGATGAGATATTTTGAAAAAATGTTGAGGCATTCACAAACATATGATACAGTTACAGCAAACTATACAAATAAGCTTTTCTGGAACTCTCTCAGTTGCACATGTTCTGTTGTGTTTAATGGCTACGTGTCCAAGGTTGGCTTGAAAGGAATGATTCCTGTAGATGCTCAACATTTCCTAAGAGTAAGACAGTCCCAACAAGTTGTGTCCATCAAACTTTTAATAGGTGTCTTTTCTCCTGAGCAGAGCCTGGCAATGCAGTATTTTATTTTCTACCATTGTATCAAACCCAAAAAGATGTCTTAACTGAAACTTAGGAAGCAAAGGGTAGGAGGGTGTTTCTAGGGCCTACAGGAACTAGAGGCAGCCTGAATAGAAGTCTTATTCTCAATGACACTCTTTCTCACAGTTCCCCTAAATCAGAGCTCCCATCTGTCTTGCACGAAGATACTACTTCTACTTCTACTTCTACTTCTCTGAACTCTCGAGATCTCCCTAGAAAACAGAAAGGACCAGGAGAAAAGGTTTGGGACTGCTAGTAACCCCTGAGTATGATATCTTCCCTGAAGGAATTCCAGGGAAACCTTGGGGTGTGGGGAGATTGGAATCCTGTAGGTAGGCCAGATGAACAAAGGAGCAGCACCCAGCACAGAGCTGACAGGCTGGGAATACAGGGTGCGCATAAAGCTCCACAGAGCATCTGAATGAGTCCCCGGTTCCAAGTTCATGAAAGAGGAAAGGAAGAATAGCTGTTTGAAAGAAAATGCAGGTGACCCAGGGATTGTTTCTATGGAATTAGCACCACTCCTCTTACCTGAGATAGATACTTCCCGGCACCGCACCAGGTCACTCTTGTTGCCAACCAAAATTATAGGAATGTCCTCCGTCTGCCGGGCCCTGCGGAGCTGGATTCGCAGCTCAGATGCCTTCTCAAAGCTGGCTCGGTCTGTGATGGAGTAGACGATCAGGTAGGCATCCCCGACTTGCATGCAGTGGTCCTGGAGCCACTCATTCCCCCCCTAATGAAATGAGAAGGTCTCCTATGAGCGCACGTAGGACTGGTAAATGAGGCATCAGTTTGCAAAAGGAACAATAAATGTATGCTAAAGTACCCTTGCCGATACGAGAAAGAAAGAAAACTTATTCCAACTCCCCAAAATGCATCAGTCTTCCATGCCTGCAAGATGTCTGGTGGCTGTAAGGACTGCTAGCCCATAAAGTACTTGCCAAAAAGTTCCTACTGTCCAATTGAGTTGATAAATTATACAGTGACTCAGCCAAACATTATTTCCACTCTTTATCTAAACTACTAAAAATGTGCCTTTTCTGACTTCCAAAAAACTCCCTTCTTTCCCAGGTGAAAAAATTAAGAATCCTCTTGTGAGAATTAGAGGGGTTCTCAATAAACAGAAAGTCTAGTGTATATGCCCAGAAGCCCAAATGCTGAAGGCTAGTATTGAGACTGTCAACTTCATACAATGTGGTTTGATACAGTTTAAAATTACCATTCATACTTGTTAGCACTTTCCCTAAAACGAATGCACTTTTTTGTATTTTTGAGTAGAGTTAAGGGCAAATCACTGCAACTTGCTTATTATTCAGAGCTCACCTGTGAATGATCTGTTCATTAGAACAGTCTCTCTCACACTTCAGAAATAACCTTTTTTCTTTTCGGATTTGGGAAGTTAAGTCATTTTATTTACTTATTTATTTTTAATTATTTTTATTGTTGAAAGTATTACAGAT